TAAAAAATAAAATTTACTATAATTATAAAATTAATTTAAAAAAAAATTATTTAAAAATTTTAATTTTTCATAAAAGTAAATCAGAAGTGAATTTATAGTAAATAAGCAGGCAAATTTGCCTGCAAACTTTTACAGTTTAAGGGATAATAATAAAAAAATTATATAATAATTAATTTAGTTAAAGTAAAAATAATAATATCATTAATAGTTAATAATAAAATTATAAAATTTTAATTTATAATAACTTTAAATTTTTTATTAGATAATTATAAAAAAAAAATTTTTCTAAAAATTAAAAAAAATAAATAATTTCAAATTTATTAATAATTTTATTTAAATAATAAAAATAATTTATTTTAATTAAAGTTTTTTAAATTATATATTAAAAATATTAAATAAAAAATAAATTTGTAAATTAAATATTATTATAAAAATAATTATCTATTATATTAATATAATTTTATAATAAATAATTTAAATTTAAAAATAACTTTATATTTAAGATTACTTGTTTAGAATTTGGTAAAATATCTAATTTTTAATTTTTTATAAGATTTTAATATAATTTTACTTATTATTCAGACAACTTGTATATTTTTTAAATAATCTTAAATATAAACTTATATAAAACTTATATACTTATATAAATTTATTTAAACCTATATAAATTTATATAAATTTATAATTATAAAATTTATACTAAATAAAATTTATGTAATTATATATAAAATCTATAGACTTATGTAATTTTATGTAAATTTATATCTTTATATAAATTTAGCTTTAAAATTATTAATAGAAAATAAGTTTTTTTTTTATTAAATTAATTAAAATATACAAAAATAATTGCAAAAAAAATTATATTTAAATTTAATAAATTTTATTATCAATATATTTTTAATTTTATAATATAAAGGGCAGTCAATAAATAGAAAAGAGGAAAATCTACTTTTTAGTCAAAAATTTTTATTGGTTCATGTTGCTAATCATGATCCTGTGAACGAAACTAGCTTAATAATTAAAATTACTTAAAATTTGTAGATTTTCTTCTTTTCTATTAACTGCTCCCTATATATTAAAAAATTAGTATAAAATAATTCTTTTTAATTATTAAAAATATTAATACTTATTAAAACTAATTTTATTATTCTAAATTGTAAAATATTTAAATTTATATTTAATTCTATGATTTGATAAAATATTTTTCATTATTTTATATCTTTATTTTTTTTATTTTTAATATTTTAAAAACTTAAAATTTTTTAATATATGATATTTTATTTATTATATTTTATTTATCATTAAAATTATTATTAAAAAAAGAAAAAAAATAAATTTTTAATTTAATATTATAATTTAAGATAAAAATCTAATTTTAGATTTTGAATTTAATTAATTTTATCAAAAGTTTTATTTTATAACTTTATTTTTTTCAAAAATTAGTTTAATTAAATTTTAGTATTTTAAATAATATCATTAATCATTTTTTTATTATAAAAATTTATAAGTTTTATAAAATAAATAAAGCTTTATTTAAATGAAAGATATTTAGGTTAAGTGATCTAAATATTAAATAGTAACTTTTAAAGTTAATAAATTATATAAATTAGATTAAAAATTTATTAAAATACAAATAAATAAATAAATAAAATGAGATCTTTAGAAATTACCTTTTTAGATTTAGATGCTATTTTTTAATCATTTATACCTTATATAATAATAAATATAGTATTTTATAATAGAAAGAAAAAAAAATTTAAAAAAATTTTTTTTTGAGTTAATGTTGAATCTAAACTTGTTTTACTAAAAAAAATTATTATTTAACTTAAAAGTAAAAAATCTTTTTTTAGTAATTTAATAAAATTTAAACAGAAAATTTGCTTTTTATTAAATAACTTAATAATTTTTATGAATTTCTTATTTATAAAATTATAAATTTATAAATTTTTTAATTATTCTCTTAATTTTGTAATAATATATTAAAACAATCTTAAATTCTTATTTTAGAAATATTTAAAATTATTTTATAAAAAAATAAATTTTAAAATTAATAAAATAATTTTTATTATAAAAATTTACATACTATTTTTAAAAAACATTTAAAAATTTTATACATGAAAAAAGCTAAATAAATTTTTTAATCTATTCATATAATAATATTTTTAATTTTACTTTAATTTTCATATTAAATTCCTTTTATAATTTTATATTTTCTATTAAAAGTAATAAATGTAAGAAGTAATTAAAATTATCTATTATCAACAAATGACTTTGAATAAACTCTTGCAAAAAAAGCCTTAAATAGATCTTAATAGAAATATTGTGATTAATTTACACAAATCACCTAGTAAGTTATAAAGTATGTCACGTGATTTGTTTTCTTGAATGAAAAAGAATCTTTTTCTGACAAATTTATTTTTTTTTAGAATATAAAAATTCATTGTTTTATTTGATAATAACCATTTTTTATTTGCAAAATGATACTTCGAAATATATTATAAAAAAAAATACATTAAAGAATTTAAAATGAAATCAAATCCTAATTTCTTCGAAACGATATCGCGAAATATTTTTCGAATTACACTATACAACTCACGAGCGAGTCGTTAAAATCTTATGAGCGAACTCTAAAGCTTTTGTCAAAAGACTAAATTATGCAGGTAAAATAATAAAATTATAAAATATACTTTTATTTTGTTATATACAAAGGAATATATAAACAAATAATGAATAAATTATTTTTTTTGAAAATATGTAATATGTATAATATGTAAGTGTATATATATATATATCTACTGTATATGAGAAAGGAATCTAAGATTATATTAATGTTAATTAATTATACTAAATTTATCACAAACTTCTTTTAAAAAATTATAATGAGCACTTAAAGTGATCACGGACTTGAATTCCACACAATCCAAACACCTCAAATGTAACCATTTAAATCTCTCGATGACCTCTTCTTCGCAAATCTCTTGACCCTCATCACTTTGATTCGTCAACACGCCAATACTCAATAATAATTTAGCCCAATAGTTATTTGAAATCCAATTTTCCATCAAGGAATTAAAAGAGATCACATAACAAATGATAAATTGTTCAAAACGAGAAGCATAAGTAAACGTATGTTCACAATTTATCCAAAGTAAGAATAAACGATAAGTGTTTAATAACATGTAAAGCTTTTGTGTGAGGGTAATTGTGGGAACCTCCAAAGAAATGATTAAATATACTTGATTATAAAACTTTTCAGAAAAATTAAATAATTTTAAAGCGGTTTTTGTAAGCGATGCTAATGTAATCTTATTTGTATTCGTTAAAGAATATAAAAATTTAGGAGAGGGATTATTTGATGAGAAATGTGATAATATTGAGTGTTCGAGTGATTGAGTGATTGAATCTAAATTGGTAAAATTATTTAAATAATTTCTTTCTTCAAAGGAAATTTCAAGGGAATTTAATTCAAAGGTATCTAGATCATTATCATTTAACTTCTCCAACAACTTTTTTAAATACATCGCTCGTGTAATGATAGGGTCTAACACTTTAGGAAATGATAAACCAAAGTCACTAGTAATCTCTAATGAATTCTCAATATTCTCACATATTGATAACTCTTCATTTTCGCCAATATCTCGAAGCGCATATACCCCCAAATTCAATTCATTATTAATATAATTTTTAACTAGGAAGCAATTCGGATTTTTTGAAGTCTTGATAAAACAAAATAATTGTGATTGAGAGATGTTCACGCCCGAACAAATGTTCAAATATAAATCTGATTTAGTCATGTTATCATCAAAGAAATGTTCACACGACTTTTTTGTAGTGCATGCGTGATGAAATATGTATTGATATTTTTGAAATTTGTGCGTTGAATTTAAGGTGAAATCATATTGTGCTATTAGCAAAACGTGCACATCGGAATTGTTAGATTTAACGTCTGATATAGGTTGAATTAATTTCTCATTAAAACATTCTTTCCTTTTCATTTGATGGCAAATGTAAGGAAATTTTTTCATAAACATCATTTGAATATTTGGAAAAGGAGAAGAAAAAAAAAATTTTTTTTTTTTTCGAAAATCTTTTTGAAGCTTGGGAAATTATTATTTTTTAAGTTAGTTTTTTTTAGGTTAAGATTTATTTAAAATAAATATTTATTCGATTTTATGTCATCCGGTTTTGTTTGGATCGTAATTTTTCCGCAGAAATTTAAATATTTGTGTCGAAACGATATTCATCTGGTACGGAGAACGTCGGTTAACCTAAATTTTGGGAAAAAAATTCATGTGAAAGTGACCGATATTACGAATTATATGAGCGTTCGATAAATAGGTCATCATCTTTAGTTGATACCATCCCGAAATAATTTCGTAAGATTCTATGAAGAAATTCAAATGTGCATTTTTTGCCCCTTCATTTTAATTTTCTGACTTTAATTTAACCTATTTGAGAAGAGCTTCGAACCCATCTTAATGGATCAACTCATTTCGATACTGGAAATGGTATAGATATTAAAACAAAACTCCGTCCAGTCTCCGGTTACATACTTTTTTTGTGTATATGTTACGCGAATTGTATTGATTGGGGTCATTTGTACATCAAACGTATTTGTTTTGAGAGATATGATTCTTTCACAGCCACAAAAAAGATACCTAAACGGTTTTTAGCATAGTACCTCCCCATAGATTGGAGGTATCAAACACGAAAAGTATGCAATTGGTAAAATACCCGGGTATTGACTCAAGCGCGCACGGACATTTGTCTTGATTTAATTCGCTGTAAGACGATTATAAATTTGTGGTACATTGCATGTTTGTTATCGTCGGTTTCCTACAAAATCGGTCAATTGCCCCATGAAGATAACATCCAATAAAAACCGCAAAAATCAATAGATGAATTAGATCATGATCTTGACTAACCAACATCTCTGTCATCTTTTCAACGTTCTGAGAAGCTAACTTACCATATTAAAACATTCCAACAAATTCACGACAAAAATGGAATATCATGATCATCAGAATCTGGTTTTCGTTATTGTCAAACAATATTACCTCACAATATTTTTCATCCATTTATGATAAGAAATAATTAATAAAATTGAAGGATTTCTTAATAAACTTGTTTCTTTGATTTCTACAAGCAGATTCTCTATTATCTTCCCTTCCAATCCTTCTTTTTCTCACGTTCCTGATCCGGAATTTGCGGGTTTTACTTAATCCTAAATCGCTCCGTAAATATATTACCCGAGTGAAGATTACGGTGAATCATTCCCTCGCGCAATTTCGTACAATAACTTTAATTTTTCAAACTAATCCAAGTAATTTCGTAGACTACCGTGTTCCGCATGGTTCATTACATTACAAATTATTTGTAACTGGACCTCTTCTAACTTGATGACTGATGTAATAAAACAACGAGTTTATATTGACAAGGTAACTTAGAATAGGTAAACAAGGATTTGTCTTACCACGTGCAAAAATTTGTTTTAAACTTTTAAAACCTGTTTATATTTTTGTTTATCTATTTCCTTTTTTTCCTTATACCTTTTAAGTTTCGAATCCACGAAGTTATAAGACCATCTTTCCACTTGGCCTTTTGAAAGAATCCGAACCCTCTTGTATTCAATCCACTCCAAAATCCTTACACCAAAGGTTGCTTGAAATTGAGATTCTCGAATCAATATACTATATCATTATTTCCGCTAGTAACCAGTGGTAACGAATTGTTGTCTTTTGTCCGTATCAGAAATGTTGTGTGTTTGTTCAAATTGTTTATAAAGGGCGCAACGATCGATCCAAAAGGATTTGATTTTTGTAGATGCGTGGTCTGATCCAGCCTTTAAAATTTTCCTGAACCGTTTTGAATTTCAGAAAAAACGTTCATCACATGATTGATCTTATTTTACAAATATTTCGGTTCTTTTGTCAAGTAATGGTACCTAGGTGATAAATTCTTTTAATTGATCGAATACATCTTCGCTGAGATAGTCCTGCTCCATGGTTAATAGTTATTACAGGTTTGAAATTTAAAATGTAGAAGCTATTGACAAAAGTTTTTATTTTAAAACCAAGCTGAAAGGTAACTCCTATAATATATGCTTTAAAATCAAGATGCGAGTTAAAAATAAATACGTGCGCGTCATGTATTTATATATTTTATTTATTTATTTATTATACAGAGTTTTTAATCGAAACGCTTAAAGTTTCATCCATTTACTTATTTATGTTTGAAACAGTGAAACGTATTGCATACGTCCTACGGTACTAGTGCGCTCCCCCACTTCCTCGGAATTATACAACAAAACAGGCACGGAGAGAATTTACATTTAGGGAGGTGCGTATTTATAGAGAACTACAAAAGAAATAATACATGAAAGTTCTAAACTTCAAGAATCTTTGAAATGCTTTTTTTTTTTTTTAGAAGAGGAATCCTACTAACAGAAAACTGTAATAAAGAGTTATTTATTTTATTTCAATTCACAAGGTACAATTCATCTTGTCAAATTCTAAAAGTAATTTTGCATTTTGTGAAATTTACGGAGTTTACGGAAAATTTCACATAATTGCTTGTTGAATATGATCATACATCATAAAAAAAAAAAAAATGGTTTGGTAGCGCGATCAACTAAATTCATTAATACAACCATAAAAAAAACATGGTCTAAAAGTAAATAAATCATAAATTTAAGTTTAAGTTAAACTTTGAAAATAGGTAAAATTCCTGTAAATCTCGTGCGTCATGACGAATGATGGTATCTTTTTGAAATTTTTACATCCTCAAAAAAATTTCAATTTCGCGTTTTTATTATTTTATTTAAAATATCCAAAAGAGTAACTATTTTTGTAGATCATTATATATTTGATGGTGTAAAATCAATCTTGAGACAACCTTATCAGTAGAGATAAAGTAAGTTTAAATAAAGGAAACTTCCAAGGCGAACAAATAATTTTTTGCAAATCAATTCTACGATTCATCAATCATTACAATACCGCGAAATCATTTACATGTACAGTACATTTATGTATTTTCTAATGGGTTAATCTATTGATTTAACGACTTAACAGGTTAAGCAAAAGCGACACCAACAGAGTGTATTTTATTTCTTATAAAATGGCAATCTTAATTTTATTAATATTTTGCCTTAATTAATATTGATTTTTATTCATTCGGGCCAAAAACTTAATATTTTGTCGTTCAAAGTTACTAATCAAATTAATTCACCATCATATTTTATACCGTTTTAATAATTTAGACATTTACAAATTTAGAATGGCACAAACGGGAATTTTTTTTTTTGTTTATTAAATGAAAAAATTTTATCATAAAAAAAAAAAAAAAAAGAAACATCACGCTTTAAAGCTTCACATATAGAACCGCTCTAATCTTCTCTCTTGTTTTTGATAATAATTTAGGACTAATTAAATTCTTTGTAGAGATGATCAATCTGTTGCATGTAAATCCATCCCCCAAGCATTTGAGAATTTGTTTCAAATAATCATCGGTGAACCAATTGTTATTGGTAAACTCCAACGTGTGTAATTTCAATCCCCTACATTTTCTAAGCTTGTTCATCAAAAAATTGGCCAAAGTATATTCGGAAAATATGAAATTTCCTCTAATGCCAAAATATTTTAATTTGACAAATTCCATTTCCGATAATTTATAAAAACACAACGCGATGTTATTTGCTTCAAATGAAACATCAGAATTGTCCAAAATAATTGATTGAATAACATCACTAGAATATGATAATAAAGTTATCAGGTAATTATTTTCAAAGGGTTGAAGACCGCACTTGAAATATTTGAGATTGGAGAAATTGGTAGATGCGAATTCGATCGGATTAAACATTGGGTTACCCGTGAATGACGTTTTCCCGATGTCCAGATATTCCAAGTTGGAAGAACAAATTTGTAATAAACATTGCAAGAATTGATGAGGGATATAAGAATTATTCAGATCAATCGTGTTGAGTTCTGGTAAATACAATTTTTCGCTAAAATAATCGACATCATCATAATGTTCATTGTTTTGAAATGTACAATTATATAATTGAAGTTTTTGAAGTGATAAAATACTCGTCACGTGAGAGAGAGCCTTCATATCGTCAAATTTAATTCCCATCAACTTTAATACCTTTAAACGTTTCGCCTGAGATTCTCGTAATTCTTTCATTAATAAATGAAAGTCCACAGGACAATGATGTAAAATGAGATGAGATAAATGTTGTTGATTATGAATTAATTCGACTAAATTTGCTACTTCGTTCTTTAAATTATTACGATCCCTTGATATACCATAATATTTAACGTTCGGATAATCAATATCTATTTCCAACTTAACAAGTTTATGAACATATTTTGATAAGGTTAGAAAGAAATCCGCTTTATTCCTTTTCGTCGTACAAATTAATTCTCGGATATGTGATAAACAATCTCGCGCGTCGGGTTGTTTGGGGATGAAAAAGTAGATCTCGATCGCCTTATATTCCAGAATGTTTCTTCCGCCTCCCTTGTACAATAAGGCGGTAGGATACCGTTGAATTTCGTTACACCGGTTGAATAAAGTTTTCTTATATATTTGAGTTATATCTAGTGAAATTCGTTGTAAATTTTTACACTTCCTCATGAAGAATTTTAATAGTACCTCCGATATTATTTGATATTCGGAATTTGTATTTTGTAATTTCTTAAATAAGGTTGGTCCATAAGATTTAGCCAGATATTTTATTGCCTCCCCATAATTTATCGGTGGGGGTGACGTACCATCCGTTACAGCTTGCGATACCTGTCGATCTTTGTAGTTTTCGTGAAGCTTTAACGTTGAGCTATTTAAAAAATAAAATTCAATTATGGCTAAATCCATCTCATGAATGTCGATGTTTCGTAAATAACCAGCGTAATCAAACTTTAATTTTGGTAGTTGCCCTCGTTGAATAAAAGAACCTGCGATCAAACTCTGTTCGTTCTCCCGAAAGATGTTTAAAATGTACGTATCAATTAAGTTTATCGCCTGACGTTGATGATTTAAATAGGTGCAATTACAAGTGTTTTCATCCTCCTCTTGAGCGGCGCAAAAAAAAAGGAGTCGGAATGGTTGTCTCCAAAGAATGTCAATTGTTTGAGAACACCATGTTTGGTTTATCAACAAACAACGAAAAAGTGATGTCTTATCATCTCTCAACGACAAAATTATTTGTCGAATTATATCTGTGTTGAAATTTAATGGTAAAACCATGATGTGTAAAGGTTTTCTTTGAAGGAAGAAAGAAAAAAATTTTTTAAAAATTTTTGATAAAAAATGTACGACGACAGGAAATGATTTATAAAGTTAGATCGCCTGATGCAGAAACTTTTGTGGTGATCGAGATGTATATATATGACCTTTTTGAAATTATAACCCGACTGAAGCTCGTTTAATTTCGCATGATCAACTGAACTAATAACCATATTTCGAAATTACACGTTTATTTTATGCAAAGTTCACATGTGTTAAGTTCGAAATTGACATGTATGACGTATAATTGCGCGCTTTTATTGCATTATCAATTCTATCATCTTTAAAACTTCTAATTACAGCATCGTAAGAATATCATTTCATAACTTAATAATAAAATGTCTGTAAAAAAATACCATCAAAAAAAAAAAAAAAAAAAAAAATGAGAAAACAATCTTTCTAATATCTGAAAAGGTTCATCATCATCATCATCTCATGGAATTTATACTTAAATATTTTTAATTCTTTCAAGTAGACTGGAAATATTATTTTTTCAATGATATATGAAGTTACTTTTAACAATAATTTTCTTGCAAACTTTAGCATTTGTAAAATAAGGAAATCTTAATAAAGTTCATAGTGTAATTTCAATATATATACCCGTATTCTTCCGAAAATAAGCAACACTTCGGAAAAAATTGAAATTTTTTTTTTTTAATAAAATTTTTTTTTGTAAATAAATAATTTAACTTTATGAATATATTATAAATGCATTTTATTATTACAATTAAAAAAAATATATTATGAAATTACAAAATATTAGTGTTCATTCTTTTTTATATTTAACTGAGTATGAATTTTGTGTTCGTTTCACAATTTTGATCTTACGTCTAATAGTTTTAACAACTCTCTTCCGTTTTGCCATTGTACAGTTAATGAATGAAATTCGATCATCAAAAATCATATGATTTGATAGTTACGCGATCAAATTTCTTTCGTTTTATTAAACTACCCGAAAATAAGCAACACTATAACAAAAAAGTGTTGCTTATTTTCGGAAGAATACAAGTATATCTTTTTTTTTATTTCAAAATAGAATTTCACTGGTGCAGCAGTAATAAAGACATTAAAAACAAAGGTAAGTTCATTTTTTCCAATCTTAAATCAAATTTTTCTGATCTTGAATTCTAATTTTTATAAATTTGTGCTATGGTATAAGATTATTATTGGAGATGTACTGTACACATAAATTTTAAAAAAGTTCCGGGAAGATTGGTAAATGTTTTAACTTCAATTTATGTCCTTGTACCTTTTTTTTTTTTAAAAAAAAAAAAAAGACCCTTTCAATCAATTCGATAACAAAATTTATCATAATACTGTATATATATAATGTGATGGTATCCAGCATTTTGGGTGGTCAAATATAAGCTTGTGAAAAATCTTTAATATTTTTTTTTATAAATAAATGTCGAGATCCTTGTGGTATAAATATGAATTAAAATGTTAAATATTTCAAAGAGATTTTCGTTGACAAATTAATGAATAATGGAATTATGATAAGTGACGAATTATACGAGACGGTTTTTGTTTAATTAATTCATTTGATTCAATTTTAATAAAATTTTAAATGAGTTTTGCTGTCTGTAATCAAATTCAAAGGTTAATTATTATTAAATGCATTGATAAAAAAAAAAAATTTGCTAAAAACTTACCAAGGAAATCATACTCTGAAGAACATATCATGGTCATTGTTTCTGTTGTATCAGCTATGAGCTTTATATCCTCCTCATCAAGGTTCCCAAACCAATGTAATACTTTTAAATTGTCATGACACTTTGCGTATTCTACAACAACTTTCAAATATTCCTTCTCAATCATATATTTATCAATTATTCCCAAAGTATTTGGCCTTGCATTCATTTCATTTAAGAAATAGTTTAATTGTTGTGAGGTAAGAGTGAAATTGATATAAAGGGATGTAACAGATGAAGGAATTGAATCGGTTAACTCCGTTAAAACTTCAGAAAAGTTATAACCAAAGATGTCAAGATATAGGTGATTAAGGGGTAAATTGTAAAGTAAGGAAGGTAAAAGTTTAGGGAAAGAAGCGTTAAACATCGCCAAAGATAAGCTCTGAATGTTTGGACAAAACCTTTCAATGATTTCTAACAAACCATCATCAACTCTATCGAGAACAAGTGTCCGTAATGATTTATTTATCATCTTGAGTAATAAACCCATATCATCGGCATCAAGAAAGGAAGGAATATTCCAACTATATAAATGTTTGATATTTAAGTTCATTATAACCTTATCAAAATTCTCAAGGTTCATGGTTTGACCAAAATGGCTTAAATCTAAAGTTTCCAAGTTATTGCAATCAATCAAAATGGATAGTAAAGGTTCGAAATTCTTTAATCCTCTTATATGTAGATATTTCAAAGAAAGGGATTGTGATTTAATCGCCTTAAAGATCGGCGAAGGTTTTTTGATATCCCAAAAATCATTTAACTCCAAGATTTCAATGCCTTGTTGTGATTCAATAAATTGTGAAATTAAAAGGGCTAATTGTGATTGTAAATGATTTTGCCTAGTATGAAAATTAATAGAAATTTTTAAATTACGTATATTCCTAGCGTATTGCTGTAACAAATCAAATAATTCTGATGACCCTCTTGCAAGAAAAACTTTTACATCTTTCCTAATCTCATAAGTAAAATTAAACGTGTGTAAATTTGACAATGAAAGCTTGTTTTGTACAAAGTAAGGCATTTTCAACCAATCATTATCATCGTCAAGATAAACGTTTAATACCCTTAAACCTTTTGTACGATTTAAAAATAAATTAATCAAGAGTCGAAAGAGAACATCAAATTTATCGTTAAATGCTTTTCTATCATCTTTGATTTCGTGAAAATTAAATAAAATCCATCGGTTGATGGCTTTTCTGAAATTGAAAATTTGAAAATGTTGTAAATGCCTTGGGTAATCAAATAATGGTTTATTCAATTCACAAGGATTAAGTTTAGCAAAAAGTTCTTGAATTTCTTGCTTTTCAAGGCATGCTATGTACGTTTGTATAATCATTATGCACCTCCTTTCGGCTATTTTATAATCAAATGGGTGATGCCATAATATAGGAATTGTTTGGTGGCACCATAATCTGTTAACCAATAAACACGAATGCAATGATGACTTTTCATTTTTTAAATTTTCCAACACTTCTAAAAGACAATCTACCGTCAAAGAAATCATTACAAAGACAGTCTTTATTAGAAACGTGAGTGAAACGGAAGGAAACGTTACCATTATTTATATTGCTGATCTGCAAGTGCGTTAGTATTACGATCAGATGACCCAACGATAATCTTTCCCATTCACATGAAAACCATTTAATTGGTAATTTACCAATTCGTTGATTTTTTATTAAGAAATAGTACCATAAAAAGTAATATTGCCGCGAACAAGAGAACAAGCAATGAAATATACTTATATGTATATCCTTTATTAATATATCCTAAATCGCATAAGTTATGATATGCGAGTCAATTTTTCAATTAACATTTGATTCAACGTTTTTGAAAAGGAACTCGTCAATTGTAAGGATAATGAAAACACATGACTCTACGTAAAACTTTCATCTCATTCGTAGAAAGTTTAATTTTTCATAGTCATTGTATGTATAGAAATTTCATTGCCAAATAATTTTTTTTTTTTTTTTAAAAAAAAAAAAAAAACACCTCCCCCACCATTGCTTATATTGTTTCATCTCTACTCAAATCATTTCTTGAAAAATTGAATAATGGAAACGGAGAAAAAAAAAATTAAAAATAAAAAATAAAGACTAAGCCAAAATTTTGGGTGGCGTAGTAATTTCACGTCGATCTGCCTAAATTCGTATTAACCTCAGCCGAAAGGATGACCGTATCACATAAAAGATCAAGTGAAAGTCGATTCGTTTTTTTATAAATTCGTGGGAATACAAAAAAGAACTTAATGAAAAATCTATGGTCCATTGATAATTTCTTTTTGACTCGTCCATTTGATTTATAAATCGATCTCCTCTTTAAATTTTTTTTTGAAAAATTAGAATGGATTCTAATGATAAAACCATCATGAATACTCAAGATTTAAATAATGCTATTCGTGTCGAACTTCATCGACAAAATACTGTTGTCAAACAGCTTTCTAAAGATTCGGGAATTGAAGAACACGTTATTCGGGTAGATCATTTTGACTTGAAAACACTTCTCTTTATGCATCTATTATGCTAAATTTTCTTTACTTTCCCTTTCTATATACATATACATAAATGATTTATATCATAGAATATGATGAAGGAGAAAAGACCAATTGTTAAAAAGAAGAGAAATCTTACCGCGTTCAACACGTTTGTTGAAGTTCAAAATAGAAAATCACAAGGAAAAGGTTATTGTGAATATTGGACCATTTTAAGAAAAAAAAATTTATCACGGAGCATTTTTTACATGTAATTCGAATCTTTTTTTTTTTTTTTCTTGGCATTAGATAAAGATTATCAAGTGATTTGGGACTCTTTAGATTCGGAACAAAAGTTGTCATATCAAGTAATAGCCAATCAACATAACCTTGAACATCGTTATTCTGAAGTTAAATATATCAGTAACCCAGAAGAACGGTTAAATACTTTAAAAGATGGTTTAAGAGAATTAAAACATCAGGTATATGTGTAAACATAAACATTAACCTTTAAGATAAATATTTATTTTTTTTTTTTTTTTTTACGATTCGTTATTGATGTAGTGTTGTCGATTAAATCAAGAGTGTGGTTGGGATTTCTTGGTCATCACTATTGAACCAAAAGATTTGCCAGAAACTTCCTTTGGGTTTGGAAGCCTTCTAGCAGATGATTTTTGTATTGAACAACCTGAAGAAGTTTTACGAATCAGTAAAAAATTATATCATTATGGCGAATCTACAAGGAACTTGCGTACGTTATTGTATATATATGTAGATGATGTTTCAATATTTTAACTTTTTTATTTTAGGAATAAAATTTTGTTTTTTATCTTATTTTATTTTTTTGCCTTTAGAAAATGAAACCGGACAAGTAGACTTAAGAAATGATCGATTCGAGTCCCTAATAGATCAAACACTATCATCGAATTATCAATTGCCATCTACAAATGAAAAAGCAATAAGGGATATTAGCGAAGATAATGAAAGTGAGTCATCTACTTCTTTGACCGAAAGTAATTGTACGAATTTTGGAGGAATAAATGAAGCAGCAATTGAAACTGATTACGAATCTGATGATGATAAGACTGTTTGTGATGATGAACGAGATTTAATTAAGCAAGATCCTTTATATGAATTACTTGGGCAAGATTATATGACTGTTCAACTCGATAATCGATTAAAATCTGCTGTGAGAAAATTCTTGAGAGCAAGGTTCTGTAAGTATCTCCCAATTACCATAAAAAAAAAAAATCGACCTTTTTTTTTCGTTTATTTAACTTATAAATAAATTGTTGTAGATTCAGATACTGGAAAAATTACAAATATCCCTTATAAAGATTGGGAAAATCAAACAAAATATTCCGTAACCGGATGGCCCAAACATATAAAATTTGATGATTGGGGAAGAATCAAAGAAAAAAGAGAAGTATATCGTCATTTACTTGATATTCATTTTCATGTTAACGAGGAAGCACCAGAATATAAAAGATTTAGATCTTCTAATAAGAAAAAAAGAAGATTAGCATAATTTATTTATATATAGTAAAATTCTTTCGAATCAAAAAAAAAATTTATTTTTTTTTTATATATATATATATTTTTTTTTAAAAGAATGTATGTAAATGAGTACATTACAAATAAATAAAATGCAAATTCTTCCACATGATTTGAGGTATAAAGACCCATTAAGTAAGTACTTTAACTATCGTTCAAAAACCGTATTCAACTACTAATAATGGACGCTAATCTAAACCGGGAATATATCATGAATAAATGTGCGAAAACGTTCACAAATGGTTAGCAAGTGTTGTGATCTGATAAACATTCAATTAAACCTTGTTACTAATCATCCGAATCAAGTCTCCTTTTCTGTTTGGAAAACAATTTAATCTCATTACGTTCTAGATTTCGATTCATCGATGATTAACAAAACAAATCAATCATGTTTTTAATTGATCAAACAAATATAATATAGAAATCTTTTCGATTTAATGATATCACATAAGAAAATATATTTTTGAAAAATCAAAATTTCAGCGAAGCTCACTAATCTTTTTAGGTATACTACAAAAAGACAATTCATTAATTTATTGCACAATAATATTTTATAATGGATAAGCATATTTATACAATCTTAAAGTGATTGTTCGATAACGCGTAACGCAAATCAAAACAGCTTCTGATTAAACAAGTTTCATTTGTAACTCACGAACGATATATTTTAACATCAAAAAAAAAAGATAAAATAAATAAATAAAATAGAATGTTTACAAGTTGTTTGGGTCTAGAAATTATATTTGTTATTGTCAGAATTAAAAACCATTCAAAATTTGGACCATTCACGGTTGAGTTACCTTATAAATCCGAGCTTTACTTTTATTTTTGTCACAAGGTGAATATTAGAATCATATACTCATCCCGCAGTGGATGAAATGTTAAATGGGACTTTAGGAGTTATGCTCGTAAAAGAAATTGATTTTATTCGTCTTTGAAGATAAACTGGTCGTGATGGTTAAAATGTGCTGTTCAATAATAGTTCATTATGAATGATTCAATTTAAAAACATTGCAATATGAATTAAGTTTAATTCCTCAGGCGTAATAGAAATAATAAACTTTCTTTTTAATTAATACTGGTATGAATGTTTAATAAAGATTTAAGCAAAGTAGAAATACCAAACATTATTACAAGGTGCTTAAAACTTTGTAAAGATTTGAAGTGAAACCAAATTATTTTCTTTTCAGAAATAAAATTTTTCATAATAGATTTATTTCGAATGATAGCATTGAGATTCCATTGTTCAAATAATTTTACGTAACTAGATTTGAAATATTCTTTTAGATTCGTGTGACTCAATGGTTTATTTTTTATTATCGAATTATAAATTAAACATAGACAAAAGGAATACAAATAAATTTACTGCTTGCATATATACAAAAAAAAAAAAAGAGTTTTACTGTCAAATTCTTAAAGATTTAAGTAGAATAGAAGTTAATTCTTTTGAATCATCCTTAGTGTCATCAGTAAAATCTATTTCAAGATATTTAAGTTTGGGGAACCATAAATCCTTCCAATTATGATGTTCATTTTCCTTGGGTTGAATAGCTGAACTTGTTTTGAAGATACACTTATCAAATCTCAATTCTTTTAAATTTTGTAGAGGTACTAGGTGAAATAAAACGTTAATACTACAAATAGTAACATTATTAAAGATCAAAACGTTTAAAGAATTGGATTGAGATTTAATGACGGAATCCATGACGACCTCCCAAAATTCTTCATCATTAATATCAAATAATTCTAAATGAACCAAATGATGTTGAAATTTGATGAGGGTAGCGACTTGATTTGCTTCCCTTATTGCTGCGAATTTGTCACTGGTACTGGTTAACACCATATTAGCTCTAAAAACCAATTTTCGAATATTTTTACAAATTTTTGAAATGGAGCATAAGAAGTGAGTTAATCTTAGATAAGAGTAACTGTACAACTCAATTTCGGATAGATTAACCAAATTTTGATTCAGTTTAGGGGATTTTGGTAAATCGATATCGATTAAATTATTCAAATATACCAAGTGTTGATAAGTATTTAAATAAGAAGCATCCGGTTGTTTAATGTCCTTGATAAGGGATAAACAATAATTTTTATCATGACTCAAGTGAAGGATAAATTGCGTATCCAATGAAATCGATTTTAACCTTTGCGAATATGTTAAAAATAATTTAAATAAAATACCATAAAGTAAATATGATTTTTCACCTGGAAAATTTCCACCAAGTTTAGAATCCAAAAAGTAAAGAGAAATATATTTATCGGATTCGGACATCTCTGTGTCTAATGATTTCTCCCAATCTTTAACCGCAATGTACAATTCATTTAAATCCAAAACTTTTAGGAATTTCACATAATTAAACATGGTAATCCTAACTCGCATTTGAATGACCTCTCGTTTTAATAATTCCTCATTATACTTAAATATGAGGCATTGTAAATAAATTCTCAATAATTTTGCATCTTGAATTTGTCGTTTCTTGGTTGAACAATGACAACTTGTGTTTATTATCTCCGAAGATTTGGTCGGTAAAAAACTTGTTTCCTTGCATGCATAAATAAAATAGAATGGTCGACTCCATAATAAATCCACCGTTTCTCTACACCAATCCCGAGAGGTCAACAAGCAAGAATGTAAAGATTTTTTATCATCTTTTAAATTCAAAGTGATTAAACGAATACATTCCGGAGGAAATGCGAATGCGAATTTAGACACATTGTTCATTTTTTGAGAACGAAAATAAAAAAAATGGATTGACAAGCTCCGTGCAATCAACCGACGACGTTTATAATTGGTGTTAGAGTTGCACAAGGATTTTTTTTTTACATTTTTACTGCGTCAAAAGTTCGTTGTTCGTGTGAACACAAAATTTTAAAAAATTTATTTAATTGGACATCAAAGTTTATTTTTTTAAATAAAAAATTTCGATGTGTAACTACGCCGTGCTATGTCAAAATGGAATATGACACTTTTAAGCAAATAGTTACACGGGTTCATTCTACCAAGCATTTTTCTTTTTTTTTTTAAAAAAAAAATGGAAAGCCGATCAGTAAAAGTTTACGTAGACATATTCTATGAGCTATGACAAAAAAATTCTTTTGTTTCAGCATAAAGTTTAAGATTTTTTCACACTAAATTTCGTTAACTCGGGCCTATTTATAGCCGATAATTAAGTTTGATAATTTTAAGACATTCGCGTAAGAAAAAAAAAAATAAATCAACCTTTTTCCGTCATATATTTATTAATAATACCCAGTACTTTCAATAAACTATTCTCTTCTTCCAATGAAAAAAAGAATTCAGAAATGTCCAGATGCGTCCGGAAAACATTCAGAAAACGTGCCAAAAGTTACGACACCTGAAAACGTACATGAGAAGCAATTTTTGGCAAGTTTTCTAAATGTTTTCCGGAAGCACATGGAACTTTTTCAGATGTTCTTTTTCATAATAATTTAAAAGATTTCTTACTATTCATTGGTTCGATTGGTTCTCGTTTTTGTTTTATTATATTTTGAAAGATCTTTTCTCTTGATTAGTGGATTTTATGTGGATAAGTATTTATGTTTAATAATGTAGGCAAAAAAATTTTACTAACCTAAATAGAAAATTGTGAATTCAAGATGCTTTGTGTTGGAATAGAAACATTAAACAATTTGATATTGGTCATTGATGAATAACTCGTTAAATTCCTGTTGTAGACAATAAACGGTCAAGGACAAAGAACCTTTTCATTGGAAAAAAATCTCTAAACGAAATGTAATTGTCAGTATTTCAAGATATCATTCAACTCGCTTTAACAAAGAATAATTCTCGTGATTTTTTTTTTAGCAAATGATGGCTAAATTTTAAATTTACTTAAAGCGGAAATCCATTTGGAGTATATTAAATAATTGAAAAATGATGTTGGTGTGACGTTTAAACTTATATATAAACAACATTTTCAAATCGAATATTCTGACAAGAAAAATTATTTAAACTTTTTTTTCGTTTTATTTCGAGATTTCGAGATTCTATAAGATTTTCTGTTTTGATAAGTTCCTTCGGGGGTGAACTAAACCCTTTTTATTTTACTACGGGAATCATACTTAAATATTTGTTTTTTCTTTTTCTTTTTTTTTTTTGAATATTGATATTGTTCTAAATTTGTAAATAAATTATATAATACTCTAATAACGTTAATAAACGATGAGTTTCGTGAAATTTAAAAAACCACAGAGGAGTTATTCTTCAACAACTACTCCCCAAAAAGATGATGAACAAGAATCTACTCCCTATTTCACTCATCAAAGAGCGTATACTGATATTCCACAAAGCAGCAATAACACTTCACAACAACCATCAATTTATTCCGAACGTCGTCAGTCATCGTACCCCCCTCCTTCTCCAAGAATTAAATCATCCATCATGAAACTTCCCATAACATTTACTCCTCTACGCAGTAAAGCCACAAAAGCCATGAAATTTGGGAATCATCAAGATGCTCTTAGATTCCTTAATGAATTGATCATAACTTATCCGGATAATTATCAAACGAGGTGCGATAGAGCAGAAATTTATCAACATTTAAAACGTGATCTGGAGGCCATTAATGATTTGGATTATGCAATAGAAATAAAACCAAATAAAGCTAAAGCATTTTATTTAAGAGGATTAATTCTCAAAGGAATGAATGAATTGGGAGCCGCGAGAAAAGATTTAAACATGGCATTTCAAAAAGATAGTAATGATCCAAGAGCATTGGACTCTTTGAAAATTTGTGCACAAATTAATATAGATGAAGATAGTCCATATAGTATTGAACAAGCGATATCTAATTTAAATGACATGTTGAAATTGGATGAGAAAAATATTTGGGCTTTACAGAAGAGAGGAGAAATTTATTTTGGACTAAAAAAATATTTTAAAGTTGTAAAGGATATGGATAAAGCATTAGATATTGAACCTAATGACGTTGAGTTTATTGAACTAAGAGGAACTTCATTGGGGAAAATGTTAAAATATAATGAAGCAATGAAAGATTTTAATAGGGCATTAGAATTGAATCCTGATCATAATCCAGGACTTTTATTGAAAAGAGCGAAAATATATAGGTTACAACATAAATATCAGGAAGGTTTGATTGATATTGAAAGTTTACTTTCAATGGATGTTGAGTTAGATTTTCATATTTTACGAACTCGTGGAAAGATTTATCGTGGTTTATGTAGATATAAAGAAGCATTGTCTGATTTTAATGTGGCATTAAAGCAAAAACAAAAATATTCAATATACGTTAGAAGGGCCGAGATACACAAGGTATTAAGACAATACGATGAAGCGTTAAACGATCTAAATCGGGCATTAACGTTTAAACCTGATCAAGAAGAGGAAATTAAGATTTGTGAAATGCGTAATCAAGTCTATTCTCAATCGTCTAAATTCAAGGAGGCATTGGAAGGATTAAATAATTTCTTGAGTATAACACCAGGAAATGTGAATGCACTCACTGAAAGGGGAAAAGTTTATCGTGCCACACATCGCCCCGATGAAGCATTGAATGATTTAAATTTGGCCTTGAAAACTGATTCAAAATGCTCACTTGCACTTTTATACCGTTCTAAAATATATCGCGACCAAAATAATTTTAAAGGAGCGCTTAATGATCTTAATGCAGCTTGGAAAATAGATCCTAAAAACGCACAAATATTAAGAAATAGAGGGAAGATCTTTACTTTAATTGAACAACATAATAAGGCGCTAGTAGATTTAGATGACTCTTTAAAATTTGAGAAACATTCTTCGGCTTTGAGATATCGAGGAAAAAATTTATCAAAATTGAAGAAATATGATTTAGCTATTAAGAGTTTCAATAAAGCCTTACATATGAAACCCACTAGTGGAAGTATATTTTATGATCGTGGCGAAAGTTATTTCAATTCTCACAAGTATAAAGATGCTTTAGAAGATATGAATAAATCTTTGGAATTTGATGAGAACCCCAATTCTTTTGAACTACGTTCTTTAATATACATGCAACTTAAAGATTACAAGAATGCTTTAGCAGACACGAATAGAGTCCTTCATATTAATGCAAAAGATGTAAAAACATTGAGAAGAAGGGCAAATTTATTGGAAAAATTTCAACGATTTCATGAAGCTCTTGATGATTGGTTACAGATCAAGAGGTTTTCGAAAGGCAAAGCAGAACCTGAATATATAGAAGTATTAGAAAATTGTGGAAGGTTATTATTTAAACTATGTAGATATGACGAAGCATTAGAAATATTTGATGAATCTCTTGAACTGGCGTCTGATAATCTCACATTTATATGTTATCGCGCCAAAATCCTTCAAGAACAAAAAAACTATGATGTCGCACTCAATGAACTTAATGCTGCTATGGGAAAACAAGGTGACAAATGTAGTTTGTTTGTTATGCGAGGTGCCATTTATAAATCTATGAAGAGATATAAAGAAAGTTTACAGGACCTGAACAAAGCATTAAAATTTAAATCTGAAAATGGCGGATCGGATCAGTATTTTGAATTACAGACTGAAGCTTATTGTTATAGAGGTAGTATTTATCGTTCTTTACGTAAGAATAATGAAGCTTTGCTAGATTTAAATACCGCTTTAGAAAGAGATCCCGACAATATAATGGCCTTATGCGAAAGAAGTTCTATTAATCGTGATCGTGCTAGATATGACGATGCTTGGAAAGATATTGAAAAGATTTTATCTCCGACTATCGTCAATGAAATCAGTGTTTGAGAACAATGGACATTTTAGTTCTGTAAATATTATTTATTTGTAACTTTTGAAATTTTGAATTAATAAAATTTTAAAATAAAATTTCTAATGGACTGTTACTGCACGTTATATAAAATACGTTTCATAAATTAAACAATTTCTATTTTTTTTTTTTATTTAAAAATCCAAACATTAACTTATAAATTTTAAATTTTAATTATATATTAAATTATTTTAAAAAAAAAAAACTATTCTTTAAATAAGCTTCAATTATATTTTATAAAAAAGTTGTTAATAATTTTTTTTTTGATTTTAAAATACATTATGAATTTTATTATTAAAAATTAATATATTTAAAATTAACAAATAAATTCTAAATAAATTATATTAAAAATAAGTACTGTATATATATTTTTTTTATAATCATTAAATTTGTAATAAAAGGAGAAAATTATAAAAAGAAATAAATTATAAAATATTAATAATATTTATATTATCATTTAAATAATAGCAAATTTATAAATATATAATTATATTTAAGATTATTAGACTATAAAAATACTATGATTATAAAGGGTTTTTTTTATATAATTGAATAAAATAACTAATTTTTATTTATATCATATTGTATTAAAATATTTATATTAAAGATTTTAATATAATATAATATAATAAAAGTTAAAATTTTCTTTTATTATTTAAAAATTTGAATCATATTTATTAAATATAATAAAAAAAATTGTTTATATAATATAATATATAAAACTAATTGTATTTATTATAAAATAAATACAAATTATACAAATTTATATTTATATTTTAATATAAAATTGTATTTACTTTATATTATAAATCAATAATATAATTAATTAAAATTATAAAAAAAAATAATATTATAATGTCTTTAATATAATTAACAAAAAATATTAATATAAAAAATAGAAAATAAGTGAATTCTGAAATTTATTTATCTTTTTAATATATAATTTTATAAT